TATATCTCATTGTGTATACACTGTCTGATTTCCTCAGCGGAAAATAGAAGTTTTGTCACTGAGAATCTGAGAGTATCTGCAGGATGTAATTTACAAATGCGATCTTATTTTAAGAACTACTTGCCGTCTCTTATATACCTGTTTTGTAAAACATTTAAGCCCTTCTAGAAAGTACGGGCCCTATCTGGAAATCGATTCGTTCCACGAGAGCGTGAAAAAGCTCCACTTCGGTTCCGACCCGATGGCCACGTGTGTGGTCCGATCTGGGTCCACTTGACCGCCGTCGCGTTGATGGGTGCGCTAGACACGCGCGAAATAGGCGCCTCACAGGTACCATCGGATACCGTGAAAGTACCATTGTATAGGTGCTATCAAGGTATACAGGGTGTTACTGAATGTTGTCAGGAAAAATACAGGCACAACCAACTAAATAGTATTAAAGAGTTATAGAAGATGACGTCAAAAAGATTGATTCTACACTTCCCACGGAACACTGTTGTTAGTTAGTCCGTGAAGATTATTAGATAGATAAAGTCAGCTGAATACAATTAGCTTAAATTCACTACCCTTTTGAGAACATTACATAGATTGATTCTACACTTCCCACGGAACACTGTTCTTAGTTAGTCCGTGAAGATTATTAGATAGATAAAGTCAGCTGAATACAATTAGCTTAAATTCACTACCCTTTTGAGAACATTACATTTCTTTTCTGTCCCACCGAAAGTATCGACCATCCGACAACGATACTGAACCACACCAGTCACCATGTCATAAGCGAAAGCCATGATACTATAAATGAGCGCTCAGACGTATGAATTATCGTTTTTCGATGGTAAATTTAAATACAGTACGATGTACGATTCGTGTTGGATACTATCTACCTAAATGTAATCTAAGATGTTCACACGTGTTTGATGAATCGCCTCTTTCATCATTCACAATCCTACCGGCATATCAATTTACACGATCATTTCGATCACGTTCACACATTTATTTCTACCCCCCCCCCTCTCCAGTCATTTGCCTACTCTTCAAATATTATTACGACTGACCAATTCTATCCAACATACTCCTCGGCAATCGTACGCAATCTCCTCCCGCCCTTCCGCTCACATCTTCCTGAACATGTATACTGGGACCACCACCGCACCCTTTTGAATGATTCAAGTCGATCCTACGCCTGATAATTTCTATTCTCTTGTACCGAGAAACCCAATAGTAAAGCACACGGGCTATACCTCAACAACGGCTTAACCTAGAGCCATCCGTTAGAAACATTTCATAATAAAAGTGGCCAAGGGAAATTGCTGGAAATTACTTTCAGCCGCCTAAAATGGTCGCTAGGTGGCGTATTTTCAATTTCAAAAATTAACTTGTCATCATTTTTAATGTACTGATTTAATAACTATATTATGTTGATTGCTCAGTTTTAGAACTTTTTTCTCACTGTCATTTTTCCATGTTGGTTTCACTCGAAAGAGCTCGTACCTGCGCTCCTGCTCACGACACAAATTTGTCAGATTATGTCACATTATGGCCACTAGATAGCGTTTTGTGGATGTGGATGTGTCACTGTTTTTTGAACTCCTTCGAAAACTTCAAATACAACGGTATATTTTTCTAATATTGCTCATATAAATCCTATGAAATAGCGAAAACCGCATATCAATATATTTATTTGTTATGCAGATGTAAAGAAAAATATGCTTAAATTGCAATTTTTAAGCACTACTGAATGAAAAAAAAATACTGCAACTATACCTCGTATTTTAGCTCAGTTGGCTTTGAAATACGAATAATTTAGGAAACACCGGTTTTTTACCACTTGTGGTAGTTATATCTTGTAAGAGTCCAAGTTATGAATTATATCCATTGTTGTATTATATACGGGGTGTTCGAAAAATAGGCGGAAATATCTTGGAGGGTGATTCCTTGTTAAAAAATATGAAAAAAGTTTCTATAAACATGGGTCCGGAAATGCAGAGTTTTCACGATACAGGATGATATACTTTTTTTAATAATACCTTATAAAATATTTACTCGATTCTGTTGAAATTTGGCATTGTTATTTGTTGCTTTAAGAGGTTAATTTAGCCCTAAATAAATTAACGCTATTAGGATCAGTGATTAAGCATCTGAAAATACAACTTATTTGCCACTTGGTATTTTTTTCGTATCACACTTCGCTTTCGAGAAAAAAAATAAAAACCTTTTTTTTGCATATCACTGGACAAAACTGGTTTATTAATTCTTGCTAAAAAAATCTCAAATGCCTTGGCAAACCAAAATTAAAAAATTAGCCTCTCAATATAGCAAATAGTATTGCCAAATTTCAACAGAATCGAGTAAATATTTTTTGAGATAATTATAAAAAGGAACAATTTATGTACCCCGCGTCTTGAAAACTCCGGACTTCCGGACCCATCTTTATAGAAAGTTTGTTTCATATTTTTTACAAAGAAATTACCCTCTGAAATGTCCGTCTATTTTTCGAACACCCAGTATAGAGGCTATTTCGTTTAAAAGACCGTATCAATTAAATCTAGAGTGCTATGACATTCTGGAACAGAAACAAAAGAATAAACTAAAATAAATTAGTGCAAACGTCAAAACCATTGACATTGCGTCGTTTTCAAATTGACTTTCGAATTTTCTAAAATGCCGCTCGAAAATGGAACACCGGTTGATAACGCTTGTAGTCTATTTTGAACGCATGCAAAATGAAACTGTTGCGAACAGGCGTCTCTACCATAATCGAGTGTTCAGCAGGCTTGCCCAGCGACTTGCCAGAAGAGGGAGGCGCTTTAATCTTAGGAAGCTTTTGTTATGATTTTTTTGAATGGATGGCTCCAGGTTAAGTTGTTGCTCAGATATAGCCGGTGCCATTTATTATTTGATTACCCGGTAAAATTATTCCACTATTCACTGTATCAAGGCGGCTATAACTCGACTCATGAAGTTATGAATCAAGTGGGATAGTTGGTTCTGCCGCACTTTGTATAAGTAGGGTTCCAGAAATTCCCCGTTTCCAAGATATATATAAAGTTTACGTTTAGCAAAACATTGTACGTAATAGGTTTTTAGAAAAAGTTTTCGTTTTGAAAACTCCGGAGTTCCGGACCCATTTTTATAGAAAGTTTGTTTCATATTTTTTAACAAGGAATTACCCTCTGAAATGTCCGTCTATTTTTTGAACACCCAGTATAGAGGCTATTTCGTTTGAAAGACCGTATCAATTAAATCTAGAGTGCCATGACATTCTGGAACAGAAACAAAAGAATAAACTAAAATAAATTAGTGCAAACGTCAAAACCATTGACATCGCGTCGTTTTCAAATTGGCTGTCGAATTTTCTAAAATGCCGCTCGAAAATGGAACAGCGGTTGATAACGCTTGTAGTCTATTTTGATAGCGTGCAAAATGAAGCTGTTGCGAACAGGCGTCGCTACCATAATCGAGTGTTCAGCAGGCTTGCCCAGCGACTTGCCAGAAAAGGGAGGCGCTTTAATTTTAGGAAGCTTTTGTTATGATTTTTTTGAATGGATGGCTCAAGGTTAAGTTGCTGCTCAGATATAGCCGGTGTCATTTATTATTTGGTCACCCGGTAAAATTATTCCACTATTCACTGTATCAAGGCGGCTATAACTCGACTCATGAAGTTATGAATCAAGTGGGATAGTTGGTTCTACCGCACTTTGTATAAGCATGGTTCCAGAAATTCCCCGTTTACATTTAGAGAAACATTGTAAGCAATGTGTTTTTAGAAAAAGCTTTCATCGTTTTCTCAAAGCCGTTATGATTTAAATTGGAAAAGTCTCTTCGAGTTTTTCATTATGATGCACAATACCCGTAGGAACGCCACTGTTATAGAAAACAATTTTGTGCATGGTAATAGATTTACACTAAGTGACATATAAAATGCAACACCCAGAACTATTTATTGAATTTAGATAAAAACTTAAACATATTTGCTATCGTGGTAGTATACGCTGATAAAATGTTGAAGGCACTCCGAGCCGTACTTTTTTGTAAAGCCTTTAGGATCCGAACAATATGAACATATTTACTTAATATTCCATTTGTTCCATTGATCTATCATTGCATTATCATGCCTAGAGTTTGAGAGGGGTCAGATAATCGGGTTGCGTGAAGCTGGATTTTCTTTTAGAGACATCGCTAATTGGGTGAATCGAAACGAAGCTACTGTAATGAGATAGATATTCCAAGAAGGCCGAAATCGACGAGTTGGAGGTACTGGATGTCAAAGTCAGGCTACAGAGCGACAGGATCATTATTTGGAGAAACTTAGAGATCGATTTTCCACAAGTGCAGTTGCGAACCAGTGTTTTGGTGCTGTCCCCATCTTGTACTACCTCTGACCTCGCAGCATTGTCGGCAACGATTAGTATGGAGTAGGAAGCGACTTGAATGGACCTGTATGGAATGGAACTCAGTCGTGTTCAGCGATGAGTCCAGATTCTGTTTGGACACATAGCATGCCGTGCAAGAGTAAGGAGGAGACGTGGTGAAAATATTCCATCGAACGGCATATTCATCCCACTCTGGGGGTTATAGTATGAGGTGCCATTGCTTACGGTCACGATTAGTGCTCAGCGCTATATCCACGAAGTCTGACCACCAAATCTGCTTTCCTTTTCGGAAACATTGCAAAACGCACTTTTTCAGCAGGACAATGCACGACGTCATGTCGCTCGTTTTACCTTAGACTTCCGTCCGTAAATCTGCTTCAGTGGCCTCCTCGATCTCCAGACCTTTCGCCCATCGAACATGTATGCGACATGACGGGGAGAAGGTTGCAAAATCGACTGAGCCCTCCACAAACGTTGGAGGCTCTACGAAACAAAATTCGAATGGCATTATTAACATTAAGGCGTAATATCTCAGCAATTTTAATCACTTCCTATTTATTTTGATTTGCTGAATCTGTCCTCATTGCTTCTGAAAACCTACTGTAACACCCTGTATACCATTCACAGCCCTGTTTTTTCACCGTCTCGGATTCCGATTGTGCCCAAGAAGTGTAACAATGACAACAGGTATTTTAAGTGGAAAGGTAAGATAAATTAGGTAGGGGTTTAAGCGCCGGACGTTTCTTTTTTTTTCATTTGAACATGTTACCCCTCACTGAGTGTGAAGTGGTTGAAGTTGCTTGAAGGCTAACTACCCACGAATAGAATTTGATGCAAAAAATTCATTCATGGATCTTACAACAAATTTATTTTGTTCAAGGCTAAAGATTCTTACTTGGAATTTTTTATTTAAACCTCATAGTCGAATCCCTGTAAAATGATTTTCTGAAAAAAAAAAATTGCCCATATTTTTGTTTTCTGTCTTTTAGTATGTACACCACTGTATGACCCATTAATAAATTTCTAATCGGATAAATCGGTTAATTGAATTTATTGTTGTACGTATAATTGATCATTACGGGCAATTAGGCCCTTCGACCTTTTCACTGGCCGAGAGCCTGATTTCCGCTTGATGCAAGCTGTGTAAGCTCGTTATAGAAAACTGAAAAATATACTAAGTGACATATAAATCCGAACACCCAGTTTAAATGGTTTTATTTTAATAAAATTTTGTATAAGTACTTAATGAAGCATAATAAGTAAATGATAAAGATTTCAAAATGATTGCACTGCTTTAAAGCCCTTTGACCTTTAATAATGTGTGGATGCACCCTGATGTGCTACGCATTCTCCAACGCGCCTAGGCATGCTTCTGATCAGGTGGTCAATGTCCTCCTGTGATAACTCATTCCAGGCAACCACCAACTCCTCTCGAAGTGCTTCTAGAGTCTGAGGAGGACGTTGCAAATTGAGCAATCTCCTACCCATCATATCCCACACGTGCTCAATTGGGGATAAGTCGTGAGATCTTGGTGGCCATGGTAATAATGTGACATCATTATGTTGAAAGAAGTCTATTGTGACTCTTGCAACATGTGGTCGGGCATTATCTTGTTTTAAAGTTGGATCTGCCAGGGTGTCAAGATAGGGTAAAAGATGGGGTTCTAGAACTTCGTGGATATAATGCTGCGCATTCATGTTACCTCTGATGAAGATTAAAGGTACCACTCAAGGCGATTACGTCGGTGTTCTCAAGTTAAAGGGAGGACCCAGTGTGGGCGGTTCTGCAAACCATTCATTTGCAATGGACCTGGTAGTGAAGAAACGGTCCCTTAAGGCTAATAATCTTAGGCGGCGATCTTCAGGGTCTGTTGTTCTACGGCGGCGTCCAGTGCCCCTTGCTCTTTGCGTACGGCCTTCTCGAAGCCATGCCTGACAACACCTAACCACAGTGTCTACACTTCTTTGCACTCTAACTGCAATTGCCCGAAAAGAAAGTCCAGCTTCCCGAAGTCCCACTATACGGCCCCTATCAAACTCACTAAGTTGACGAAATCGTACAGGTCTCCGTACTCTAGGCATCGTAACCGATCGTAAAGGATTTCAAGAACCAAAATCCGCCAACGTTGATTCTTTACTGCGGCTGAAATATTCATTTTTACAGCGTTAGTGAATTAAAAAAAAAGCAGTATAAAAACCGGAATGTCCAACTGATGAGGCTGAAAATTTTTTCACTTGTTATTTACAGTAATATAAATACATTCACCAACTTTTATTAAAATAAAACCATTTAAACTGGGTGTTAGGATTTATATGTCACTTAGTATATTAATCGCTCAAACCAGATTGACTCTGTACTAAACTCGAACTTTTGGACGATCAAATCTCTGAGGTGCTATGAAGACAAATTTGGAATAGAAACGTCCAGATCAAAATACCGAAGCATTGTTCAATTTTTCTAAACGTTTTATAATATCCTTTTATAATAACTAGAGCAAGGACAACATACTAGCACAGAGCTGTTTATTGTGGAAAATCGAACAATGGAAAATGATTGGTTTATCGTTTCTGTAATAAAATTAACAACCTTCGAAACACCAAATTTCAGAGGCAGTCATTAAGTGAATTTTGATGCACTCCACATCATGCAGCAATTTGTGTAACACACAATTCTCATTTTTACTTTAGTTCTAGATATACTAAGTGACATATAAATCCGAACACCCAGTTTAAATGGTTTTATTTTAATAAAATTTGTATAGGTACTTAATGAAGCATAATAAGTAAATGATAAAAATTTCAAAATGATTGCACTGCTTTAAAGCCCTTTGACCTTTAATAATGTGTGGATGCACCCTGATGTGCTACGCATTGTCCAACGCGCCTAGGCATGCTTCTGATCAGGTGATCAATGTCCTCCTGTGGTATCTCATTCCAGGCAACCACCAACTCCTCTCGAAGTGCTTCTAGAGTCTGAGGAGGACGTTGCAAATTGAGCAATCTCCTACCCATCATATCCCACACGTGCTCAATTGGGGATAAGTAAGGAGATCTTGGTGGCCATGGTAACAATGTGACATCATTATGTTGAAAGAAGTCTATAGTGACTCTTGCAACATGTGGACGGGCATTATCTTGTTGGAAAGTTGGATCTGCCAGGGTGTCAAGATAGGGTAAAAGATGGGGTTATAGAACTTCGTGGATATAACGCTGCGCGTTCATGTTACCTCTGATGAAGATTAAAGGTGACCTGGAACCATAAGCTATAGCACCCCAAACCATAACTCCAACAGTGTGATGAACATGTCTTTCAACAAAAAACTGTGGATTCCTCCTTTCACCACGTCGCCTTCTAACCCTGTCACGACCATCGTGCATGCCTAAACAAAATCGAGACTCGTCACTAAAGACAATACTGTTCCATTCCTGATCCCAGAGTGACCGTTGTCCTGCACCACTCAAGGCGATTATGTCGGTGTTCTCGAGTTAAAGGGAGGACCCAGTGTGGCCGGTATGAAACAAGCCAAAACTTCTCATTCGTCGGCAAACACTTCGCATGCCAATAGGTCTTCCGTGTTCTGCAAACCATTCATTTGCAATGGACCTGGTAGTGGAGAAACGGTCCCTTAAGGCCAATAATCTTAGGCGGCGATCTTCACGGTCTGTTGTTCTACGGCGGCGTCCAGTGCCCCTTGCTCTTTGCGTACGGCCTTCTCGAAGCCATGCCTGACAACACCTAACCACAGTGTCTATACTGCTTTGCACTCTAACTGCAATTGCCCGAAAAGAAAGTCCAGCTTCCCGAAGTCCCACTATTCGGCCCCTATCAAACTCACTAAGTTGACGAAATCGTACAGGTCTCCGTACTCTAGGCATCGTAACCGATCGTAAAGGATGTCAAGAACCAAAATCCGCCAACGTTGATTCTTTACTGCGGCTGAAATATTCATTTTTACAGCGTTAGTGAATTAAAAAAAGCAATATAAAAACCGGAATGTCCAACTGGTAAGGCTGAAAATTTTTTCACTTGTTATTTACAGTAAGATAAATACATTCACCAACTTTTATTAAAATAAAACCATTTAAACTGGGTGATCGGATTTATATGTCACTTAGTATATTAAGAAAGCAAAAGTAACATACAGTTCTTTTCAAAAAGGTTCCACCGACCAGTTTTTTGAACAGGTCAAGTTAGCAAGCCGAAATTGTAGTTGATGAAATTTAAACGTGATATTGTAACAATGAGGGTAGTGGGGTATGTCACACATAGCTGTTGTATCAGTTTTCGTACTTTTGAGTTATGTGTCATGTTTTGGCAAAAGGTTAGGCATGTTGTCAGTTAGTTGACAGGTAGCAGGTTGGGGGCGGGGCTTATTTATCTGAAGACAAAGGATTACTCGTTAGGCTGGGCGCATACATTCGTTTTAAGCGTTCGCTTTCCGAATTCGTTTTCCGTATTCGGAGACCCGAATACATACAAACGCCATTAAAATACATTGACTGCCGCACACGTTCGAACGGTACGTACGTTTCGGAAGCAGTCCCGTGCGTTCGTAAATAAGGAACGGATAAACCTATAGTGACGCCACGCGGAATGTAGCACTGGCATACATTTGTAATGTACCGGCGCACACAGTCGGAAATTTCCATCCAGAACCGCGCAGTGACGTGCGTATTGACGTCACGTCGTTGCATCAAGAGCTCGAATGCATCAGGACAATGTGTGAAGCGGATGAATTAACATTGGCTGTTGAAAAGCACTCCTGCTTGTGGAATATACATGGCAAAGGACTACCACAATAGAGATGTCAAAGATTGGCATGGGAGCAAGTTTTCAAAGAGGTTATACAGGATTGGAACTAGTGCACAGATGTGAAAACAGAAAACAAGAGTAAAATTACTTTTCTTTCACTTTTATTATAAATACTATTGCCTACTGTACTTTTATTGTTGTAAATTAGTAATCCTTTCGTTATATAGGTATGATATTTCTACTGCCGGCGTCATGAAGTACTGAGCAACCTCGTCTCTTATGCTTCGGCCTAGGTTTGTAGATCTATGTCGTGTATCCAGAGATAATATCATCCAGGTATCTTGCTTCCTTAATTTATCACGTATGCCATTATCAAGTTCATCGAAGAAACCAAAGAATTTATCTGGATGTGCTCGTAACTTTGCTCTTTTTAGATAAAATGGACTCTCGTAGATTCTCCGACGTTTAACGGATGCACCCAATACCGACGTTTCTTTTTCTTCTTTTTCGATAATGACAATAGAAGTGCAATCGCAATTAAACCGTCGTTCTCCAGCGCCAAGCATGCACAGAGCCGCCACTGAACGTACTGGTAATACTTCAAGAAATTGAACGTTTGCGCTACGCTCACGGAATTCCGAATTGGAATTCCTGATGAGGAAACCGTATACGGAAAACTGTATGCGCCCAGCCTTAATATAGGCGATTCGATGCTTCCTGATATTTCGAAAATGAGACATTGCCGGACTTAAAAGGCACCGGATTCGGTTCGGCGACCCGAAAATATTAGCATGGTAGGACCTACATTTTGACCCTTATTGTCTATTTTGACTTCTTACGCTTCTAGCAAAGAAGTAATGTAATGGCGAAAAAAGTAAGATATGTATTTTGGATGTTGTATTATATGTACATCCACTAATCTTTGACCCGTTCAAATCTTGGGAATACCGCTTGGATTTT